GGGGGGAGGGGAGGGGAAGGCCGGGGGCCTGCAGTGGCATCCCTTCTTGGCCCATGCTTGTGTGGGTCCGACCCCATGAGCCGGACGCGGGTCTGGGGACTCACAAATGCCCGAGGGGCGCGGGAGACGGCAGGAGCAGAGCTCAGGAGCCTTTGTGCCTTGACAAGTGCCAGTTTATTTGTTGTCTGTTCACGGTGGGCTCATGGTGCACAGCGCCTGGTGCCCCCTCCCCAGGGTGAGCTTTGTTGGTGGGCAAGCGGTGACGCTGGCCTCTCCTTTCCCTTCCCCGACTGCAGGGCCCCTCCCCTCGCTGTGACCCGAGCCTCTCCCCCACCCTTCTCTGCTTGGGCGGCCCTTGTCTCCCCAGGAACCCCCTCTGCAGCAGCCTTCCTCACTCCTGCCACCGGGGGTGGGGTTCTGGTCCCAGCAGGACTGGAAGGCTGCCTTCGAAGGCCGGGAGGCTGTGTGGATGGGCGGTGGGCAGTGCCCTGTGCAATCCCGAGGCTGGCAGTCCAGTGCAGCCTGCTGGGTTTGGTCAGGGTCTGCAGGACCCCCGCCTGCAGCCCCTTTCTCTTCAGATGCCCGGGTGAGCTGCATCTGAGGGCTCTTTGAGGCCATGCCCTGTGCCTAGGAAAGGGGCTGCTGGGCACAGTGAGTCGGGGTGAGCGGGTGCCGGGGGCGCGGCTTGGTCCTCACTCCCGGGGCCAGGTCTCTAGTCTCCGCAGCGCTGGGAGCGGCACGTGCAGCTGCTGAATACCTGCAGCCTGAGCGTCAGCCGCCGTCCCCTCACCCTGGGGTCCGGGCAGGGCAGCACGAGCTGCTTCTCATGGGAGCTGAGGGGGTGGCAGCAGCTGCAGTTGGTGTCCACTTGCATGGTGTCAGTGTTGAAGCTGCAGAGGGGCGGCGGCACGGAGCGCAGGTCAGGGCGGCGGCCTCAGGAGCGCTCCTGCCCCGCCCCGGTCGCTCGGAGAGGTGGACACCAGGGTCCCAGGCTGCGCCTTCGCGGAGGGGCTGGCCTCGCTTTGCTGACCTCCCCAGCTCCCGGCAGGTGTGGTGGAGGTGGATGCGGGCCGGGGCCACCCGATGGGGCAGCACGCTGCCTGGGCCGGGAGCTCTCGGTGGATCTTCCCCAGCTCCCACTGGGAGCGCCTCTGTCGAGCAGGGCGGGTTCCAAGTCCGGGACCTGGACAAGGGCCGCACGGGGCCGACAGCTCACCTGGCCGAGGAGGCGCAGACGCCCTCGCAGCGGGTCACCGTCACGTTGGCCGTGCACCCCTGGTAAGTGACCTCTTCCTCAAACTCCCTCACGCTGCAGGTCCCTGGGAGCCGAGAGGCAGGCATCAGACGGCGGCCCCGCGGCGGGGCTGGAGGACAGGTGTGGCCTCTGGGGGCTACACACCTGGCCCTCTCAAGGGCAGGAACTGACATGCGTGGCTCTGGGCCTCGGGCTTTTAAATCCCTTTTCCTGTGGCAAGGTGGATAGTGCCGGCTCCACCAAGGGAAGGCTGCCAGCTGCCTGACAGCTTAGATGATCTGGATGCGGCCGTGTGGGCGCCTGCCAGCGCTTTCGTGCCCATGGTGGCATCTTCCCTGGGCCCCCACCTGCACTCGGGCCCCTGCCCCAGGCCATCTCCCCTTGTCCGAGCCCCACTGAGCTCAGACCTCATGGCTTTGCATGGGAACAAAGCCTGGTATCAAGTCTCTCACTGTGTGTTTTCTTCCTGAAAGTTGGCTACACTGGGAGTCCCCCAGGGTCAAGGGTTTTCTCAGAGGAGGAGGCATATTCCCAGCACTGGCCCCAGCCTCCCTCTCCACCTCCCCTCCTGGCCTGACACCAACCTGTGGGTAGAGGTGTTTCTGGTCTTCTGGGCTTAGTACCTGCGGTAGGGATGGGGTAGGGTATTGGCATCCCCTGAGGGGACGTTTGGTATCACAAGAGCTCCCTGCAGGGGTGTGGACCTGGCTGTGAGCTCTGTCCTGCATCTGTCCCAGTGGACAGACTGTAGTGGGTGCCCTGACAGCTGGCAGAGCAGTGTTGCCGTTAGAAACTGTCAGTGTGGGACTTGAGTGAAAAAGCAAAGACTGGACAGTCTTTCCTGCCTTCCCACCTGCCCCCTTCCAAGGTCTCCCTGTGGCCTTGAGCCCTGCCTGCCCTGCTTTTCCACTGGAGGTGGGACAAGAGGCCTGGCGGGCATGGGGGTGCTTCCCTGTGGCTCCCACTGCCCCCAGCCCTCCTCCCCTCCTGCTCTCCTGCTCCCTCGCCCCACGCCCTGGGTCCCCTCTTCCTGGGCAGCCTCCACCCAGTCCTTGTCCCACAAGAGAAAACACTTTTTTTTTCAATACCATCCTGCAGTGGTGGACAGTCCTGCTGGGGGAAGGCTGGGGGTGTGAGAGGGGAGCCTGCTCCAGGGGACGGGTGCTGTGCAGGGGAGGGGGTGTCCCTGGAGGACAGGGTGGGCTTAGGCAGGCCTGGGGCAGGAAGGTAGAGCAGAGCTGGAGGCACCTGCAGCACTGAGACCTGGGTGGGCCCCAACCCTGGAGTGCAGGCGCCCCGGTCGCTAGTCCCAGCTCGGGCCCCGACGATCACCTGGGGTGAGGAGCGTGCCTGCTTTCTGCAACCGGGGGGAGGGTTGCGAGAGTTAAAACTCAAGGTCCTTCTGAGCTCTGCAGAGGGTCGCCCTGGAAGGCTGCTGAGGGGGTCACCTCAAAGGGAGGCCAGGACTGCAGCAGGGACGTGGAGGGGCGGGGGGCTGAGGGAGGCAGGTGCAGGACAGTCAGGCCCTGAGGTGGGGAAGGGGGCCACCTGGGAGAGGCCAGGTGCCCATTTAGGCCAGACTGGAATTCACTGGAGCTGTGCCCTGAGAAGAGGGGAGAAAGGATCTGGGACCTGGCCAAGAGAGGCTGAGGAGAGGCCCCGAGAACACGTAAGCAACATACAGCAGAGGACAGGCTGGAGAGGGGGTTGGGGGAGATGTGACTTGGCCACTGCCTGCTGGTGGGGGCCCTGTCCTTGTAGACACCCCCAGGACACAGCTGAAGCAGCAAAGCTCAGAGACCTGGAATGGCACTCCAGGGCTGGTCGGAGGCCAAGCTGCGGCTGCCCCAGGCTGTGCACGACCCCGAGTCTGCTCTGTGCGCTGTGCTGCCTGTGGCCATCCCCAGGCAAGGGAGGTGAAGGCTTTAGGAGGAGAAAAGGAGGCGCACCTGCTGCAAGGCCTGGGCCAGCCTCTGTGGGTGTGTGCAGGTCATGATGGGGCACAGCAGAGGTGGGAGCAGAGGCCGAGAGGCAGTGCCCGTAGGGTCATCAGGAAATGTGAGGGGATAAGGAAAGGCGGAGATCCCACGGGAGTGACCCAGAGTATTGTCCAGAGTGGAGAGACAAGGCTGAGAAGAAGCGTGCACCTCAGGTCATGAGGTGGCTGCAGAGAGATGTCGCTCACCTGGAGAGCTGGGTAGAGATGTGATGAGAGAGGAGATGGATTGGCCCCTGGTGGAAGAGGACCTGGCAGTGGGAAAGGAGGAGCTTCCATGTGCAGTGATGGAGCCGGTCAGGAATACGCTGGCCGGCAGCCTGGTGGTACTTGGCTGTCTGGTGGTGAGGTTGGTGGCTGGGGAATTTGGGATGGCTGTCACTCCCAGGGTAGAAGACAGGAGGCCCTGCGTGGGGGCTCGGGTCGTGAGGGAGGTGGACTTTGAGGTAGTGGACCGAGAGGACAGAGCTGAGGAGGTGGGCTTGCTGGCTGTGGTCCGGGATGTAGACAGGACCATGGTACTGGGAGTGGGGAGAGGGGACAGCGTGGGAGAAGATGGGGGTGAGAGGGAGGGCCTGACAGACACGATGGTGGCTGGGGAAAAGCGGCTGGCAGACAGGGGGGCTGTGTGTGATATGGTCACGGGTGCAGAGGGGGAAGGGCTGTACGGAGCTGAACTAGCGGTCGGGATGCTCTGTGAAGTGGAAACTGCTGAAGGTGATGGGGAAGATGATATAAAAAGAGGAGTGGTGTGTGAGGACACGTGAGAAGGAAGAGAGGAAGTGGTGGGCAGGGAGGAGAGGGTGGAGGTGCTGGATGAAGACGAGGGGTAATGTGGAAGGTTCGACACAGAAACGGAAGTGGTGAAAGGACTTTGGCTTGGGTTTAGAGGAGATGGGGAAGGTAACGTAGAGCTAAAGCTAGAGCTTTGTGGTCGTACTGTGCTGACTGAGTTCTGGGCTCGGGTGGTCCCTGTTGTGGTCTTTGTCAGTGGTGGGGCTGTGGGTGTGGCGGTCCCTCTTGTGGCCTTTGTCAGTGGCGGGGTTCTGGGTGTGGAGGTCCCTGTTGTGGTCTTTGTCAGCGGCGGGGCTGTGGGTGTGGCGGTTCCTGTTGTGGTCTTTGTCAGTGGTGTGGCTGGGGGTGTGGTGGTCCCTGTTGTGGTCTTTGTCAGTGGCGGGGCTGTGGGTGCGGCGGTCCCTCTTGTGGTCTTTGTCAGTGGCGGGGTTCTGGGTGTGGTGGTTCCTGTTGTGGTCTTTGTCAGTGGCAGGGCTGTGGGTGTAGGCTCTGTTTCTGTGACAGGGATGTGTGTTGATATGGGTGGGGTGCCAGTTGGCTTTGGGGTGGAGGAGGTAGCATGGGACTCTTCTGTTTGGGTGATGACTTGGTGAAAGGTTGGAGTCACTGAGGAAGTGGCAGATGTTGACGTATGGATGGGAAGGGTCTCTGGGTGTGATGTGATGGGGTAGGTGGTAGTGGTCTGGAAGGGCGTTCCCGTGGATGGAGCTGTTGTGTGGGAGGTGGTGGGGACAGAACGGGTCGGGGTGGAGTGAGTGGTGAAGGGGGTGTGTGGCCCAGTGGTGGTGGCCATGGTGGTGTGTGTCACGGGTGTCCCTGCGCCTCTACTGGTGGATTTAAGGGAGATGGTGGTGAATGGTGGGGACGTGGTTACATGGAGGGCATTTGAAGTAGAGTGTGATACCGGGACAGTGGAGGTTGCGGCTGTGCTGACCGAGTTCTGGGCTTGCGTGGCCCCTGTCGTGGTCTTTGTCAGTGGCGGGGTTCTGGGTGTGGTGGTCCCTGTTGTGGTCTTTGTCAGTGGCAGGTCTGTGGGTTTGGTGGTCTCTGTTGTGGTCTTTGTCAGTGGTGTGGCTGTGGGTGTGGCGGTCCCTGTTGTGGTCTTTGTCAGTGGCGGGGCTGTGGGTGTGGTGGTCCCT